TAGGGTAGTCCGCATGGTAGTCCGCGGACTAGTCCGTAGAGTAGTCCGCGGAGTAGTCCGTAGAGTAGTCCGCGGAGTGGGGTCAGTGGGTAGTCCGCGGAGTGGGGGTCAGTTTTTTCAACTCTCCCTTAGAGGTAAGAGAATAACAATGTCGGTCAAACAAAAACCAAATTCACAGACGTCTGAAACAAATCATTATTACAAAGGTGGACAATCTTTAAATATATGTTAAGCCGGTGAATATTTAAATAGAGACAGTACAAAAGTAAATGCAAGACCCGAAATCTTTACATTACAAATCAGATGTACAATGATGACAACGCTCAAACTCAACAACCCGTGGACGTGCACTGTAAATTCCAAAAAATTGTTTTTCCGAATTTAAGGTCCCTTCGGTGAACAAAATACAGGAACTTACCCATCTGAATTAGGACAAAATCAGTTCAGTCAAGGGATAACATGACCAAGGGGTAAAATGAGTTTCATAGCCAGTTGAAGTAGTTCTTTGTCTGAAATAAAGATGTTTGCCCAAATTGTGGTCAAATGTGGCTCCACGCAACGGAATCCGGTTTCCGGAACCATGGAAATTTTTGCGGTGAATTCTGGAATCCAGCAATTTTGGATTCTGAATTCCGCGCCATAGATAAATAAGACTGTGGGTCCACAGAGTTTGATTAGCAGTTTGAGTGCATCTGAAACAGATCTCTTGAATGTACAGTGAAAGTGACGTTATGTTTGTTGCTTTATTGTGGTTTCTAGGTACTGTCGAGTGTGACCCCGGCAATAATAATACATTCCCTGTACATAGGAGTGACGTTTGAACATCATTGGTTCCCTACACTCTAGGATGGTTACAAAGGCTCAATACTGATCGCCGACAAAGTGCTCTGTAATACACAGCACAGCAGTTTAACAAAACTGACGAAATACAGTCAACGGACCTCAAAGACACGACATTCCCCCTAAAAGGGGTATTTAACAATTATTTCTCGAGCCCGAATGGGCTCCGAGGTCAATACCCCATGAGGCCGAAGGCCGAATGGGCTATTGACTCAGAGGCCATGAGGGCGAGAGGAATAATTGTTTTAGTAAAATCTAACTAGTTGGTCAAAAATATCGAGAATAAAAAATTTTAAGCTTGTTAAAAGCTAGACTTTAAGCCTTTTTTGCAGCCAAAACGCCCGCCGTTTTCTCTACTAGGGGGCTATAACATACCGTAAAGTTCCGATAGTAACGACCCCCCGAAAGTAGCGACCCCACGAAATTAACGTCAATTTTTTTGTGGCCGCTAGTAAATCCCGAAAGTAGCGGCCCCCCAAAGTAGCGTCCCACCCCGAAAGTAGCCCCCCCCCCCCCCCCCC